CAACTTTTGACTGCTTTCCTTTTAGGTTTGTAAGCAAAATACTGGTCATACCCAACTATCCTGATCTGCTGTTGTCAGCTTCTGGGGTATGTATTGCAATTTCTTCAGAAAAGAGTCTCCCTTGAAAATTTAGCCTCTAAACCCATTGTTTGCTTGTGCTTCCCCCAAGTTCCTTGAGATACTTGGAATAAACTCTCCTGGTTTACAGCATGGCCTCTCTCTTGGGACTAGATGATCTATAAGGTCCATTCCAACCCCTAAATTCTATTCTGTGATATTTTTTTTAGGTTTTAAGATGAAAAGGTTGTCACCTCTACCCCTTCCCACAGGGTTTCCCTTGTGAGATTTGATCTGAATTATATTCTTGTCTGTATGTCCTCATAGTACATCCAGAGCATGTTGTGTAGAGGTTGCAGTGCAGTTCTGCACAGTGCTGGGATGAGGACTGAAGAAGTGAGTGTTCCCTCCTTTCCCTCCCCAGCCCATTTCCTAAATTGATCCTGAATTGATGGCATCCTGCTGCCATGCCAGACCTGTACAGAGTGGATGGAGTGGGTCTAAAAGAAGAGAAGCAAACATTTTTTATTTCCCAGACTACCAAAACTGCATAAGAAACATTTTCTGTTGAGAATGTGAAGATGATAGCATCTCTCTTAGCATTTGGTTTCAGCAGCTGTTCTTGCTTCCCTAAGGCTCTTGTCTTTTGTCCCTCTAATTCTTTAAGTAGCTGTAGCATTAGTGCTGTGCATTTTCCTTGGAAAATACCATTTGATGGCTCTGTTTTTCCAGAGAGGTGTTTAGCTTCTCTCCAGGAGGTTACTAAATCAAATAAGAATTTGAGTGATAGCAAGTGTAGAGGGTGGACAAGGGCAACCTGAAAGAATTGCTATTGAAATGCTGAGCACACGCATTGCTGTGCTATTGGAGACAGGCTGGAATTGCACTCCTCCAGCTACCCAGTTTCCACTTCAAAAGGAGAATTAAAATTAGCATGATTGAATAATTTAGGATGGAGGGGGAAATTATGTTAATTAAAATGCTTTATCTGCAATTTGAGGTCTTAACTAAGTGACTATTTAGCAGCTTCTCTGCGAAGCTCTGCAGGGAAATAGTTTAGCTGAAGGCCACGAGTGGCCTCTCTGCTGTCTTTGCCTGGGGTGCTGTTAGTAATAGACTTGTGTTTGCTTCCATCTGTCCAGGACTCGACTCTGAGACTTTGGCAGTATAAAAGTGGAGAAGAAGTGTACTGCTGTCAGCTAAGTAGCATCTGTGGGCCTGAGGCCACCAAAACTGACCAGGTATGCCCATGTTTATTTATTTGTGCTTTTGCTGTGCTGATTCTCGTGGCTCCCAAATATGCTGGTTGCATTTTGTTACAGGTGTATCCCTTCTGTGGGTGGGTTTGGAAGTTATATGAGACCTAGAAACTGTTACAGTAGCCTGGGATTCAGGAAAGGAAGAAAGTCCCTGAAATCCATTCCGGTGTCTTGTGTGCATTTGTAAAATGTGCCAAGCAGTGACCAAATTCCCATGGATAGCCTTTTGGAAACTAGAGGCTTGGGGAGTTCCAAAGCCCAAGTTTTATCTTTGGGTTCAAAAGTGGCTAATGAGAGCACTTTGTTCAAACAGCAGGGTTGGACAGCCATCCAATCCATGCCTGCAGTAATACTGCAAGGTGGTTTTTTTTTTTAGAGAAGAATGGTTTTGTTTTAAAATAAGATGACTTGCTTGTAAATTAACAGTGCTTGATCTCACTCTGAACCCTAACTCCACTGCTTACAACCAAGTTTATAAGAAATAATAAGCTATATAATGAACCTTGAACATAGCATTGGATAAAGTAAATGTTAAAAACCTTGTTGCTGCAAGTAGGAACTGGATTTAAAAATATTCTCCAACTCTCTTGCAATGTCTTTGAAGGCTTTTGAATGTAGTTTACTAACACTTGCCTTGTCTCCTAACACACCTGATAAAGTCTCTTCCATAGGATACCCTTTTTGCTGATGTAGTCTCTGAGGAGAAATTTGGGTGCCCTTTGAGGAGTCTTTGTTTAGCTTCTTTACCTCAGTGTGAGTAAGCAAAGACAGAAAGGGAAGGGCCACAAACTGTGAGTTAATAAATAGAACCCAGCAGCCAATTAATAAACTGTATTCCTGCAGTGTTTTGCAGTTCTATCCACTCCATATGTGTCTCCTGTTTGCCATATGTGGCACTGGAAGCCTCGGGCTGGACTGTTCCTTGGCTCTGTGAAATCCTGCTTACTGCCACTCTTACAGGTGTTTTACAGGCAAAAGGAGACTTGTGTTTTGCTGCTGTCATAGTGCTAGAAATGCCAGAGATGACATCTGGGGTAGTATTTAGTTGTGCTGTGCATCCAGGTATACCAAAGATCACAACCTTCACAACCTAGTGTGACATTTATAGTCTGAATTTAAGGAAACAATCTCTTTGAGTCAGCACTTCGCTAGCACACTGTCTGCAAATACCTCTGCAGCCAAAGGTCAGATGGGAGTCTAAGTGTTTTTTTTCTTCAGAGTTATGTGTCATTTTTACCATTGATAACCAGTGTGAATGCTCTGAAGCTTTGAGGCAGAGCTTGAAGCACAATGAGAATGGAATCATCAGTACTGGTGGGTCATGTGAGCACAAAAATGTGGGCTTATTTTGCTTGGCAGATGATGAATATGTGTCTGTTTTGGGAATGTAGGAGTGTTTTGAACAGTGTAGCATAGGTTTGAGCTGATGGGTTGCAGATCCTCAGTTCGTTTTCCCACTAGAATGGGAGTAATTCTCTAATTCCATAGTGCTATATAAATATTTTTCCTGCTTCAGAGCTTTCACCTCATCTGATCCTCTTGACAGCAGAAGCTTGTTTAAAGTCCAGAACATGAATTGCACAACTCTACCCCAGTGCCCCAGTACATTAATTTTTCATAGGGTCACCTCTTCTCACAGATGACATCAAAAGTTAATTTTAATGTGTTGTCAGGCTGATAACAGTGCCATATAAATGCTGAATAGCTTCAGAGAGTATCAAGTGAACATCTGTTTATCACAGACTGTTCTTGTAGCTCTTCTTTAACTGATTTTGTAGGCTTGTCCTTGAGCAAGATACTCTTGTGGGTCTTGCATTCACTTTGCTGATTAACTTACCCACACATGGAAAGGAAGGAGCGTGGAAAGAAGATGCATTTTTTTGTCTCTTTCCAGATGTGAATAAAAATCGGTTCAAATCAAAAAAGCCTCCTCTTCCCTCTCCCACTGAGGGTGGGGGGGAGCTGCTGCCCAGCTCAAGTTCACAGAACCCTTTGTCTCTCTAACAAAGCCCTTGGCTGTGTAGGTGGACTCTTCCCTGCATGTTTGTCAGGCTACAGACAGAGAGGCAGAGCTTTGTGATTAGACATAAATATCACAGGGTTTTTGATGTCTGTGTGAAATGGGTCCTGTGTCCTGATGCTAAATATGCACTAACAACTTTGCATTTCTGCAGAGTAGCAAAGGTTTGGTCCCATCTGTTCCCAAGAGCTCTGAAACATACCAGTCCTTTTGATAATGGCTTTTATAAAGTGTTCCTCTTCTGCCCAAACAGGCAGTTGAGTGAAAAGTCTGTGCATGGTGCTGTTCTTGCTTCCCCACCATGAGACTGTATCACACAATGGACCTTTTATCCTCGTGTGCTGAAGACAACCCTGGGTTTCTGCTATATTTATACCATTAATTAACCTTCTTTCCCACAGCTGGTTTACCTTTTAGTAGCTGCATCATGGACTGTTGACACAATAGTTAGCTCCTGGTATTAAACTTGCTGACATGAATTTTTTGAAGTTGTAGAGCTTGTTTTGCTTTCCTACATTGATTGCAAAATTCCCAGACAAGCACCCTGACAATGCCTTTACATCAGCTGGTAGCTCCAAGGGTAAAAACCTGTGGTTACTTCCACATTCAGCTAAACTTGGCCAACCAGAGGTTCTGTCTAGTGACCAGTGTCGTGTTAGGCAAAGAGGTGATGGTAAAGAGAAAGAAGACTTGACGATGCATCAGAATTCTGCCAGCAGAGTGTCAAGAGGTTGTATTTTCCCTGTCCTAAGGGAAGTAACTCACTGCTTCTCTAGTTGGAAGGTTTTAGTCATCAGAAGTGCTGGTGCTGCTGCTTATAAAATATGCTTCAGACCCAACCTTTTGCCATTGCAGTTTTGTCTTTCACGCTATACAACAGAGAATTTTGAAGACATCATCTTCAGTTTCTCTGCTCCTCCCAATTTTACTTCCCACTCAAGGAGCCTCAAATCAGTTGTTACGTATTTCAAGTAGTTTTGTGCAGCAAAGGTATTTCTCAGCTTCTCTCCCAGATAAAACTATGTAACTTCTAAATTAGGAGCGTGATGTGGGTTTTTTTGTTGCTGTGTTGGTTTTGTGTTGGATTTGTTTAATGAGGAAAGTAGCTTCAGGCAGTCTTTCCTTGTTCTTCAGAACACATTTTCTGTGGAGCTGTGTGGCTTCACCCAGGCACAGGTTGAAAACAGACAGCACAGTGGGTCTGTTAGGGATATTAGCTATGCATCACTGTCTTCGTGTTTTAACAAACATAACAGCAGCTAATAGCTTGTGTTTATAATATCTGAGCTGCTAGTGTGATATTCTGGGTGAGGTGGCTTAATGTTGATGTTTTTGCCATTAGCATTGCAGGAGAGAATCTTTGAAGGTGGTGTGCTTTTCCTTCATCTGTTAGTTTGTTAAGAGTAACTCACTAAAACCTTTACATTTGATCTCTGGAGAGTGTGGAAAACTCCATAAAACAGCAAACACTGGTACAAAAATAAACTTTGACTGCAGTTTAAAGGTAATTATGTTGCTTAACTTGCTGTAAATTAAGACATCTGCTAAATTTTAAAGGCTGAGACATGAAATGGAATGTGAATTTTCTGCCCATAAATGGTCTTAACTTACAAGGATGTCTCTTTTTCTGTTCCTAATAGAAATACACCGTGTCAAGTATAACCTACTCCTGTCAAGGTGGTTATGTTGCTATCCTGTGTGACTGGTAAGAATTAAGGGTATAATGCCCCAAATCACCAGTGCTCCTGCAAAGGCAAGAGCAGTTTTCCCTGCTGGCTGTCCTGACTTTCCCCCAGCTTGCAGTCCTTGGTACTGTGGATCTCCAGATGTCCCAGACTTGCCTGTGGCTTCACAGGGAGCATCTGACTCCTTATTGTACTTAGTCTGAGCACAGAGGTGAGTGCAAGGGTTACCAGGCTTAGGTAAATTTTTCAGATTTTGGGATGCCTTTTGCTCAAGGGAGGAAACACAAGGATAAATACAAGGCTAAGATGTAGGAGAGCCCTGCTGTCCTAAATTCCTGTTTCTGACCCCTGTGTTTCGGGTCCCATTTTGTTCAAGGTGCTGCAGCAATGGAGCAGCCAAACTTCTGTTACCATATTCTGCTCCTGTAAATGGCTTCAGCATTCTGTTTAAAACCACAGTGTTGCTTCAGTTTAAAACTCTGGAGAGGCTGTGTTGACTTTTGGGTTCAAATATGAGTTTGTGTGAGGAGAGAGTGCTCAGGAGCTGAAGGGCCTGAGCACTGAGGAACCTTCCAGAGCCATCTGGCAGGGAAATGTCTTGTGGGGATGGATAAGTCCTGTTCCCCTCTCTTTCCACAGCACCTAGAGCCTGCTAAGGAAGCTGTTTTTCCTGACAAAAGCTTGCCAACAGGAAAGGGAGGGATTGCCAGGGCTGCCTGCACAGTGAAATCAGCAGCCTGTCCCCTCAGTGCTCAGAGCCTTAGCTACTCCCTGTTACACCTCCTGCATGGACACTCTGGAAGGGGAAGCCACATCAGCTGAGGGCTGTGCTTGTCACCTAGCCCTGGGGCCACACTGTGCTCTGCATTAGGCTTTGATTTTCAGCTCCACAGCCTAGTGGTCTAAACAGGACTGTCATGTGGGCCTGGTGCTCCACTTGGGAGGGAGCTGAGGTGTCCTGCCTGGCACACACACACTGGGGACCTGCCCAGGGGAGGTCATGAAGCTCTGCACATAGAGGCTGTGGTGTTTAGAGGAGAGAGTGCTGATGGAGAGGTGGAAATGAGAGCAGTGCCAGCATCCTGTTCTTCAGCCATGTCAAAGTTTCCTGTCCCTTTCATTCCTTCTTCCCCTCCCCACCATGTAATTCCTTTCCTTTTTTATTTTCACTGATGCTCAGCTACATATTCCTTCAAGCCCTGTAGGTCAGTGTGCCACAGTGCAACACTCCTTATATAAGTCCTTAGTAATCCTTACGAAATTCCCTTTACTACCTTTTCTTTTAAGGAGAAGGCAGCTCTAACTGCTTTTTCTTTGACATAACACTTGAAAAGCCATTTGACATGTTGAGTATTTACAGCTTCTCGCTCAGATTGTGTAAGCAAATTGCTCTTGAAGTGCTAGAGTGTTTTTTGCAGTTCCTAATGACTTTGCTTTGGCTCTGTTTGGAAGGAGAGTGGGTGTCTGCAGTTTGCTGTACAAGTGGTGACTGTAGGTGGATTTGGCAATAATGGTAATTAAGTTTTTCCTCTCAAAAGTATTCCCACAGTCTACATCTTTCAGCTTGATGCCACTGCCCAGCAGCTCATTTACAAACAGCAGATCTCTTTGAAACATAAAGGTTGGGACATTGCATTTGAGGAAACAGGAGATCTATGGGTTTTGGAGGAAGACAAGGAAGCTCCTCTTCAATTGTACAGAGCATGTGATGGACAGTGGAAGGTACCTGTGTTATGCTAACATCCTAAATGTCTTGTGTTGTCTTGAGACCACAACAGAAATGGAGTTAACTATGTTTCATGAAAGCTAAGAGACACCCTTCCCTCTGTCTTCAGATGGAGTAAAAGCCATAGGTACACATCTCTTTCTGTTTCTCACCTGTGTATAACACAAAGGTGTCAAGAGCTTGTTACCAGAGTTACCAGTGTGTTCTCCAATAAAGCTAAGATCTGGCACAGCAACATCAAGCAGAGTGGTTGTTAGCCACTGCACTCAGTATTTTAAACCACTGCCTGTGCTATTTAGGAAAACAAAACCAAAACAACAAAATGCCTTTGTGGCTTGCTCAGGAATACTTTCCACACAGCTTTCCCTGTGCCTGCCTCTGAGGGATCCTTTGGAGGACAAGGCATTCTGGAGTATTAAGGGATTTTTTTTTTCCCTCTGAGAACAGGGACTAAATTTAGAGGGAATGTGCTATCAAGTTCTCTGTAATAGCCTATTAAACAACTGGAAACTCACTTGTTATCCTTGTAAGTCCCCAGCTAATTATGGTCCAGTTGTGAAGTGGTTTTAAATGAAACTTCTAAGCATGTCCTTTGACCCTTACGTGTTCTTGTGATATTCCTTTTCCTCACAGATTAGTAAGTGAGAATCCATTTCACTCAAGCTGCAAAACTTCCCCAGCAGAACAGGAGACCTCAGGCCAGGTTTCTGTAGCAGTCCTGGAAAAGAGGAGCCCCAAAGACATGGAGAGCTTACACTTGCTCTCTTTCACTGTACTCCTCTGAGAGCTGTTGCATTTTTCAGTATGTTGTGAAACAGGAAATGGTTTATTAACCCCAAATTATCATGCAGTATTCCTTCTTTTCCCAGGCTGTAACTGATGACAAAGGATTACAGAAGATGTCAAAATACATTCAGGACAATTGGACAGTGTTTGAAGGTGAGAAATTTGGTCAATGTCTGGCAGAAAAATAATGCCTGGTTTGCTAGTTCTTATGTTTCCAGGATTTTTTTTGTATTTTAAAAAAACACACAACTTCATTTAGAAGCTAAAATTATGGCAGTGGTGGTGGCAGGGTAGAGAAAGGGTTGTGGTGTGTGCTAGTAGATGTCTTGTTATGTAATGACATTTCTCTGCTGTACTTTGCTGGGAGACTGAGACCCTTCCTTAAAAAAAGTGTTACCATCCCCACCAGTCCTTTGCCTGTTTGTGGTGGCCAAATGTAAAGATGGAAGAGTTGCAGGAATGTGCAGTCTAGTGTAAAGTCTCCTTAATATCTAGTATTAGATGATTTAGTGTGTAGCTGTCATTAAGTTGGTCATTAAGTTGGTACAGTCTCTGAAATCTCAGTCAGTTACTCCTTTGGAAGGGAAAGTGTTTGCATGTAGATGTTGCAGACTTAATAGTTACAGCAGGGCAGATAATTAGGAGTATGAGATCTGAGAGAAAATGAGCACAGAGAAGTAAGAGGAGCAGGCAGGGGAAGAGGTTCTGAGCATAATTAGCCTGTGTAGCAAATGAGTGTGACATGCACTAGCTGGTTGCATCTGCAGCTGGGAGAGGAGGAGGGCTCAGATGACAGGGTTTATTACTGTTAATTAGTGAGGGGAGGCTCACTTGATGAGCACTTATTCCAGTGCATAATTAGTGCTTGAAAGGTAGTTACATCTTCTAAAAAAAGTGATCATTACATTGTTTAAATGTAGTCTTAATGCCTGCTTATCCTCCTTTTATAAACTTGTTTCACCTGGTTGAGGATTCTGTAGGGTTTAAGATGCATCAGTCAGTCTTGAAGTATCACAGAATGGTTTGGGTTCGAAGGACCTCAAAGGGCATCTAGTTCCACCCCCCTGCCAAGGACAGGGACACCTTCCACTAGCCCAGGTTGCTCCAAACCCCATCCAACCTGCCCTGGTGGAACACTTCAGGGATGGGACATCCACAGCTTCTCTGGGAAACCTGTGCCAGTCCCTCACCATCCTCATCTTAAAGAATTTTGCCCCAATATGTAACCTTAACCTATGCTCCTTCAGTTTAAAGCCATTCCCCCTTGTCCTATCACTACATGCCCTTGTGAAAATCCCACTCCAACTTCTTGTAAGCTCCCTTTAGGTACTGGAAGGCTGAGAAAGTGGATAGGAACACAGTAAATGAATTAAAATGCCACTATCTAGAATTGCAGTACAGGAAATAATCGGTGAGGCCTCTAAGGGAGTTAACACTTGCCTCGTGTTCTTGCTTTGCTCAACTGCAGGTTTTGTTGGTGCAGAGAGTTACTACAACAATCTCTACAAGGCCTCGTTTGATAACATGGATGACTACCTTCAGAAGAAGGAGGAAAGGTTACAGCAGCAGAAGAAGAAAAGGCAAAATCTACAATGTGGTTCCAATGGGCAGACAAAAAAAAAGATGAAGACTGAAGAGTCATAGCTATGACTGTATTTAGCCTGTAACTTTTGCCTTCATGAAAGGAGGTGACCCAACTGCAGACTGTTTTCAAATGTGAAATGAATTATGCAAGAAGACTAGTTTACATGCAGCTTTTCAGGTGGGCAGATAGGACAGTATCCTGCTTGCAGCAGTTAATGCATTCACAATACACCTAAGCTTCTAGCAGCATACAGTGGTTCAGTCCTGGGAATTTCCAGGGCATGATGTATGAATATTGGGGATGGTATTTTCCTTGAAACAGGATTTTCTTTTTGCCTACTGTGTTCAGGCTTTCTCCTTCTTCAGGTGGAAATATTGTGATTAAAGATATGATTTTGGTTTTGTTTCTTTTGGCTTGGTTTTTAAACTTTTTAAAAGGCTTGTTAGTTACTGTAACTAACTTAATGTATCTGCCTATGGGAAAGGGAATGTAGCAAAATTCTTGCTGTATATGAGAGGTTTTAGCTGAGACTTTGCCTTCTCTGTTTTTATCCTCTAACTGGGATTCTGCCTGGCTTCTAACCCACTGCTTCTTACTTGTGAAACATTTCTATAGGAAAAAATGCAAAAGTAGGTTTTGTACACTGCAAAGTAAAAGTAAAACGTGTCAGTCAACTTTGTGTTACTGGAAGATCCTTCTACTGCAATATGATCCCACTTGTGTCTGTGAAAATCATTTGAGAGGCCTATGAGCAAAACTTGGAGTGCATCCTGCTTTCTTCAACAAGAACCCTTCCATGTTGCAATTAGCCAAGAAACACTTCTTTTTGAAAAGGTATCAGTAAGAGCCTTATGGGATCACTTGTCACTTCATCACGGGGCAGAAGATGTGTTCATCTACCAGATGGTATCATGTCTCTGTGGAATATATTGTGCTTCACAAAAGCAGGTGTAGAAATCTGTACAACCCATTAAAAGTATTCAGAACTTATGGACCATGAATATTTCTGTAGCTCTCTTTGTGTAGCTCTCCTCTCTGGAGTATCTGGACACCTAAAAGTTTTGCACTCAAATTTTAGTTACACTAATGTGTGAGGCACTTTGGGATGTAGCTTGTTTTGAGATTATCAGGTGTCCAGAAGTGAAGTAGAACTTGCTGCTTATGTCTGCTCAAAATCCAGTCTTGTCCTTATTGTGTATCCCAGAGGCCACAGCTCTTTCTTGTGCTGTAGAATGTCACATGGATTTTCATACTTCTTCTGTTTGGAAGTGTCCCTTAAAGCATTGGGTGCATTAGTACAGAGCCAGTGCTTCACCTTCAAGGTCTGATTTCTTTTGGTGATTCCTTTTCAATAAAGAACCTTCTGCTTTGGCAAAGGTCTCTTTGGACAAAAATGGGAGTGTCAAGAGTTGTATTGTCTGTTCTGGTTAAAAGTCACAATTCTGGCAGGAGCTGCCTTGGCACAAATGAAATGTGAAGTAGTTTTTATTTGATGCAGTTCCATAACATTGCAGTGTCATGTCCACAAACATTATGGTCTTGTGCTCCTGGGTAACATCGAGTCTTGGACAAAGGAGAAGGTGGTGGGTAGATTTGGGCTCGACAAGGACTTTTACCCCCTTTTATTAGAAACTCTGCTGAGATAAATAAACCTGACTTTGCATAATCTTACCAGAAATGGGGCTGTACTCACACTGCTTGTGAACCAGACAGGGGAGGAGGAAAAGGTTCTGGTTAGATTTTTTGCTAGCTGTGATAGAAATGATTCCTTACCCTACATGAAACCTGCTGATTGATACAAGCAAACTCCAACACTTCTGAGCAAATTTCAGTCTGTATTGGATCACTTCTGCATGTCACCAGGTAATACTAGTTTTGAGGTGTTAGTGTGAGTTAAAGGCAGGTCTTTCTTGTGTCATCAAACCATTATATTAGCCAAATATTCTGAGATTAGGAGGGGTGGTTCCAAAAATTGCTCTGATGTTCTGACCTGAGCATGGGACAGATGCAAAGATCACAGAATCCTACACTGGTTTGGGTTGGAAGGGACCTTAAAGATCATCTAGTTCCAATCCCCTGCCATGGGCAGGAACACCTTCCACTAGACCAGTTTGCTCAGAGCCTCATCCCACCTGGCCTTGGGATGGGGCATGAGCAAACTTTCAGGGATGCTGGAGGCTGTGAGTGTGCAGGGCTGACAGGGCAGGTCACCTCTTCCCTGGGACACTCTGCTCACCACAGAGGATTTTGCCCAACCCTCCCTTCACTTTAACAGTTTTGATGTTGAGTGTTAGGAGTCCGTGTGCATAAACAAAATCATTCACTCAGAGAGGAAGAAAATCTTCTGAGGATGACACAGGTAACTGCTTTCAGTGGGTTGGTCATAGATCCTATATGGGGCTTTGGCATGAACATTGGTATTGTTACACTTCTCAAGGCTCAGAGAGTGACATTGCAATTCCTATCCCTGAGGGATATTTTTCCCCAGCTGCTTTCTCAGCACAGGATAGACTTTGACAGTGATGTTCACTGGCTGTGGGGAGCTCTTGTGATCCTCACCCTGCCTGCTGTCCTTGAAGGAACCCAACATTCCTTCCAACACTTGAAGTCATGACAGATCGTGGTGTGTGGGAGTGACATGAGATGTGATACCTGGCAGATGGTTCAGGCCTTTTGCTTCTTTTTCCTGCAAGTTCTATTTTCCTATTCTATTTCATCTTTCCTTTTCTGCATGTAACAGTTGCTGAGCTTCAGTTGTGAGCCTGTGTGTGCCTGTGGACTGCTTTGAAGGGGCCTGTGGAAAGAGATCAGAGAAGGAAACTTGCTGGAAGGTCTAAATCCTTCCTTTAGATGTTTTCCAATCTGCCTTGGTTGGAAAACAGTCAGACACCCGCAAAGCATTAGAAGGGAGTGAATACCAGTGCTGCAGAGAGGGAGACAACACTCCTCTCCCTGGTATTTGAACTATTTACTTCTGGTGGTTAAACCTGATGTCACTTGTGTTTGCTTGCTGAACTTGAACTGAAGCCTGGCAAAAAGAGGATGGGTCAACCAGGGTGTCGTTTTATAGCACAACTGGAAACTCAAATGCTTACTGGGATATTTGTAGGCCATGTAAGTTCACCTCACACTGCACCAGAGTGTTTTTCGGTGACCATGTGACTCCACTGCTTCTCTCCTGAGCACTGACAGTCCAAGGAGCTTTATAAAATGCAGGTAAAGTTGAAGCAATAACATGTTCCTTTTCCTCAGCATTTTAAACTGAAACACATACTTCCTACTCCCACTGCTGGGATTTCACTGAAACCTCCTTCAGCAGCACATTGTTGAACAGAGTGACCTTTTATCTGTCCTAGCTTGAAGGAATCCTAATCAAATGCAGCCCAGTACTTTGCTTTAGGACAGTCCTTCCATTTTTAACTAAACTTCAAAAGCAAATTTAGTCTGTAAACAAAAAAGTCTGTAACCAAAAATGTTCCTTTCTTTTTTTTAAAAAAAAAACAATCCCAATGCAATCAAGCTGCTTTATCTTCAGGCTAATAAAAAGTTGCTGCCAATTTCAATACACTCCAAAATCTGCTTCAGCTTTCTTTGCTGAAATATTTTGTATGAAGTGCTTTGATCCGAGAGGGGAAAACCCTACAGGCCTAACTCTTACTGGTTGTCCCTGCTGCCATCAGTCCTAGTGACATAGTGTGGATTGGACCAGGATGACTTGGACTGTGGTTGTTCACAAAAGAGGAAAAACAGGTAGGAAATGGTTTGTCAATAGCTGTAGATGTAGAGGCTGGAAAGAAGAAGGACTAGAGAACGGAATGCCAATTTCCAATGTATTTGCACAGGTTATCATCCCTCTCTGAACACCAGGGCTCTGGAAAGTCCTGCAAGAACTAGAAGTAAAGGCTCTCCCAGTCCTGAGCTGGGTCATTGCTCGATAACCCATGTCAACATGTGCCCAGTGTGCAGCCAAGTGTGCCACCACCACTGGGGACCAAATGCAAGTCGAGTACTGTGTGACATTTGGCAAACCTATGATGCAAAGCCACCGTGTGCCATGGGGATGAGAATCTATCATATTAGGTAGAAGATAGAATCTATTAGAGCTCATCTGCAACTTGGGCTACCCTGGCTATGGGTACCTCAGAGATTGGACTGCAGCTGTGTGTAACCATTAACAGGGATGAAGAGTGTGGTGTGTGCCCTGATGCTTTGCCTTCAGGAAAGCTCACAGCATCAGCAGTGTGCTTCTTTTAATGCTCTATTTTTCCCCTTTCCTCTTCCATTAATAGAGGTTATGGATGTGTTTGCACATGCATGAGATGGATGTTCCCATGGGCATAACCTGAACATCTAGGAGTGGCTCCCCCATTTCCTAATCAGTACTTATAGCCTTGAGTCTCTATGATTTTTGGTAAGTTTATTTAGACTCAGTGAGACTGATGTCCATTGGATACAGGAGTTAGGTACTGTTGGTTGTTTAATTCAGCTCTTAATTCAAACAGTAGATTGCAGCTAGATGGATGGCAGATCCATTATAGCTGGGTGGACATTATAGCTATTACCTCCACAGAATCAACTTGAAGCAAGTGCAGGTAGAAGCAAATATGACATGAACACAGTCATGGAGCTTCCCTGCTGCTGCTAACAGCAAGGCTTGAGTTCTCAGTGGAAAAACTTTGTGCACCTCCTCACCTGTCTCAGATCTATCAGATTTACACCTATGAGCAGCATAAAGTATTTCTGCATGTTGCCCATAGGGTAATAGGAGTTTAGTAGTCTTATCTGGGGTGCAAATTCAGATTTTAGACTGTCTTGTATATAAATATAAAAGTGTATATGTAAAAAAAGTCCCAACCAGAAAAAAAACCCCCAGCCATTAGTAGGACACCCCAACTGCTTTCTAGCACAGAGTCAGCAGACCTACACCCTGTGTTGTATCTTGCTGTCATCCTTTGGCTTAAATTCACTTGTATGTGGGAAGAGAACTATACTGATCATGGCCCTCACCTCTCTCAACCTCTGTGGGAGAAGAGGACAACCTCAATCCTGGTGATGACCAGGGAGCAGTACATGTTGACACATTTTTTCCCGTGCCTTGTGTTAAAGAGAGCACAGTGTTAACAAGTTGCTGTTGCTATAAATCCTTTCTGAAGTGGCTGCTGGAAGAAGGCAGTTATGAAACACAATGTTCAATGTGGA